AGGTAAAAAGTTAGTTGACATCCATTACAGGACTTGCGAAACCAACCCTAGCATTTTCTGGCTGTTGTGGTTTTTATAGGCAAATTCTGTTCAGTAGTTGCCAGACAACCAGGGGTCGTGATCTGTGGAGATGCATGAGCGCCCACGCCAGTTGGCAGGGCACATGATGATGATTAGTTTACCGTTGCTCACTAACCGGTCGGCTCTCGATATCACTGTTGAAACGAATGCAAGGTGGTCTGCTGCCAGATCACCCGCAGTTGGGATCCAACCTAGCACGCTGCCATTACATAACGCCTTCGCAACGCCCAAGCCACATAAGTTGACAAACAGAAGAATAAAATGTAAATAAAATATTGCCTGGGATCACATCTCAATTGGAATTTCAGCCTTCCGGTGTGTAGGTCATATATGGCTAGACCTATATTTTATAAAAGAATCGACACCCGTTGGATGATGTGGTCAATGTTTACCAACCCATCTTTACTTCCCAGGACTTTACCTGGTACCCATTTAAAGCTGGGTCGATCTCAGAGCCAAAACTGGTTTTGAAAAAAGCGTCCAGCTCCTTTCGGATTTGAACCCACCATCTTCAGTTTGAGTAGGAAGTAGTTCTAGTAGCGTGGACAGACTACCAGCGCTACACATAATGGACCAAAATAAGAAGTTTGAATAGAACGAGGAGGAGAATAAATGAGAAGGGAGAGAAGAAGCAAAAGAAAAACAAGAAGAACAAGATGGACAATATAACCCTCACACTATATGCCAATTATCTTCTTTTCATGTGGTGTTGGTAGTCATGTCTATCCACAACCTTTTGTCTCGTGTACTTTCAGTCAACTCTGACACAGATGGTTTTCCATAGTTCATGCCGTGTGGCGTTGGTAGTCATGTCTATCCACAACCTTTTGTCTCGTGTACTTTCAGTCAACTCTGACACAGATAATCCTCCATGCCATGATGTTAAACCGTCCAGCATCTTCTCTCTCGGTCTTCCTCTGCATCTCTTCCCCTCCAACTTTTCTACTGTCACGATGTATTCCAGTTTTGCTCTTTCTCATCACATGATCAAAGAATGTAAATTGTCTCTTTCTGATGTGGGCAACCTGTTCTCTTCTCGAGTAAGTTTCTTTCAAGACATCCTCATTACTCTTTTTCTTTTCTGTCCAGGGTATTCTCATCATTCGTCTATAAAACCACATCTTCGCAGCTTGAAAATAATGACAAATTGGCATTACCATAATTTAGTACTACACTCTACAGATTACAGATAACAAAAATTGAAAAACAAAAAAAAATCATATCTCAGTCAAATAATAAAAGTAAGAAACGGTAAACCAGTAATTATGATACACAAAATAAATGGTATTTAATCTATCAGATAAAATAATTAGGACCAAAAAAAATGATATCTAAGTAAAATAACAGATAAAATAGGTCTCATTTATTAACAAGAAATAACATGAGATATCACTAAAATGACATTAAACATAGAGCATTACAGTCAATTAAACGGGACTACTGGTCAAGTATGGCAGAAAGCTGACAGGACCACTAACACTCTGAAAAGTCCAACCCCCACCCCCTTTTTTTCCCTAGCCACGGCTTGAGGTTGCAAAATGTTCATTTCTGGACCAGAAGTCAGAAGGTTCAGTCGACTAGCTACTGAGCAGAGTGCTTGGTGGGACACTGTGAGCTTTGGATTTCTTGTGGAATGTTTTTTTCCATTGTGTCCGCGATAGCCTAGGTTACAAACTGCATAACAAATTGTTCGGAACTTATGCAGTATTGCAAACGTCATGCAGGTTCTTCTAAGTGCTTGCATCAACAGTGAAGTGCCAATCTGGTAGAATGTTAGTGTTGGCACATCTGATGACTGCCTTATACATTTACATTGTGTGTGCATCTTCAAGATTTTGCTGGGACTGATATGTGCTTCTCTAGTTTTTTTTTTTTTTTTTAGACATTTTGTGTGTGATTTCCACTGGCACAGAAATGGACAGGAAGGGGATGACCAATCTGCAGTCAAGTGGGACCTCAACTAATGACTGACTAACTTTTAGAATACCTTCAGATCTAACAGTCATTAGTTGCTAATCCCAACTGCCTCTAATGAAGCACGTTAAATTAACAACAGTCTAGGGCAGGGAAAATTTAATTTGCAATAACCCCTCCCCTCCCGCCCCAATGTTTTAAGTACTTGATCTGCCTTTCTGTGTCGGGTTTTAAAAAAAAAAGCAGTTGCTGTCAGCCTTGGGTGCTGCTATTCACAGCCTATAATATGACATCTATCCACTACTTTCTATAGCGACCTCTAGATCTGCTTTAATTGTGTCTGAGTGCCAGGCTCGCCGTAGTGCACTGTCTTGTGATAGACTTGTCACATGACCGAACCATGTGATCTCTTGATGTAGTTTAGCGCTGGTTCCACAAAACCTTGTTTCCTGATATTCTCATTTCCGATGTTGTCTCTTCCTGTTACATTTAGGATTCATCACAGACATTTCATTTCTGTTCTTTCGATTTTTAGTTTGTTTTTGTTTTTGTTGCTAATGTCCATGTTTGTTACTGGTAACATAGTTTTGGTATAAATATTGTACTGAATAGGACATTTAGACATCAATTGTTGCATGTTTATTCTTTAGTAATGGAGATAACTATCCAGCTATGTGACTTACTACATCTCTGTTCTATCTCTGCTAATATTTGTCATTGATATTATACTGTCTAGATACTTGACTTCTTTTACTTATGCAGTACTATCTTATAAAATACCTTCATGGCTTGGTCACCTGGCTTTACGGGACAAAGTCATAGACTTTGTCTGAGTCTGGTTATCGTGTGAAATGATGAACAACGACCATACAGGCTCAACAGTTTGGAACATTCTGAAGATGATTTATGAAATCAGATTCTGCTACTTAAACATCTTCAACATCAACACCACCTACACATCAACATCATCACCACCTTCACATCATCATCATTTTACTTGCAAGGACTTCACCTGGTACCCATTCCATGGCTGGGCTCACCTGTGGACCAAGGTCAGTTTTGAAAAAAGTCAGGCACCGCGAGGACACATAACATAAGAGTTCACAATAATTGCATACAATTTACTATATTTCCCCTTGGGAGAAAAGTCTTGAAAAGTGAAAATCATAAAAAAAAAAAAAAAAAAAAAAAACAGTTTAACATACTTTAAATAATAAATACAAATTTTACAAAAACAAATACACATTTTACAATTCATATTTTCAGAAATATTTCTACTAATAAGGCCAGGTCACTGCTTTGAATTTTTGAAAAATTGTGACAGAACTTATCCCTTACTCCAGATGTTACTGTGAATGGCATTGGTGTCTCTTGAGTTGTTGTAAATACATTTCTACACCTGCTTTATGATTGGTTGCACAATCCATGAGACATTTTGTTACTTCTTGTTTCGTTATCATTTGCCATAATAACTTTCTTTTAACTTTATTGAATGCTTCTTTCCGTGTGGGGTCTTCTTGCTCCCATTGGGGGAAAACAAGAAAACTCCCACAGCTCCACAACAAAAATTTCATAAGAGTAGACTAATTGAGAGCATCTGTCTCAGTGGCAAGCAACCGAGTCTGCATTCACATAAGCCAGATCTGTAAAATGAATGCAAGACTAAAGTCCAGAAGTGGACGAACCAGAACTATTCACTGGAATTAACAGCTGGTGAACGTGAAGAAGAAGAAGAAGCAGAAAAAAAGGAAAAATGCTTCTTCTTTTTTTCTTTTTCCATTTACATCACTGAGGTATTGGAGAAATTTTCTGTGTGCTCTTTCTAATGTGTTGTATAAAATGATCTTGATTTCTTTGAGACTATTCTTGATGATGTCATACTGCCTACTGTAAGGTCTTTCCTTTGCTCTGTGATTATTTTTCTGTAGTGTCTATTTGTAACTTCTGTTGCCAGGACATTTGCATCAGACTTCCAAACCCTCTTATTTTGCTCATTAGTGTGACTGGTTTTAGTCTATTCTTCTTCTAATTTAAAAAAAGATTAATTTTACCATCAAAATCATTCATTCATTGATTTATTAATTGATTCATTGTCCTCTTAAGCCATTACATGCCACTTAGGGCTCACAGTTTGCTATTCCATTCTATGCTGTGCAATCAATTCAAAATCATGGATGGAACCCAGTAAATCACATTTGGCTTCTCTCATCAACGTTGACCAAAGTGTTTCTCTTGGAAGTCCACACTTCCTTAGTCCGTCTATTTCACTTTTAGAGCCTGTGTGGTGATGCTCTGTTTGTTCTCAGAATGTATCCAGTATAGCTCCATCTTCTCTGTCTTATAACTGTTGATACTACCATGGCCTTTAAGTGTCTTTGCTATATTCTTCAAAGTCTTGTAGACTGTATTGAATCAAACATGGCTTAAAGTGTCTTTGCTATATCCTCCAATGTCTTGTGGATTGTACTGAATCAAACATGGCTTAAAGTGTCTTTGCTATATCCTTCAACGTCTTCTGGATTGAACTGAATCAAACATGGCTTTGCTATATCATTCAATGTCTTGTAGATTGTACTGAACCAAACATGGCTTTGCTATATCATTCAACGTCTTGTGGATTGTACTGAACCAAACATGGCTTAAAGTGTCTTTACTATATCCTTCAATGTCTTGTGGATTGTACTGAACCAAACATGGCTTAAAGTGTCTTTGCTATATCATTCAATGTCTTGTGGATTGTACTGAACCAAACATGGCTTAAAGTGTCTTTGCTATATCATTCAATGTCTTGTGGATTGTACTTCAACGTCTTCTAAATTGTACTGAATCAAACATGGCTTTGCTATATCCTTCAACGTCTTGTGGATTGTACTGAACCAAACATGGCTTAAAGTGTCTTTGCTATATCCTTCAACGTCTTCTGGATTGTACTGAATCAAACATGGCTTTAAGTGTCTTTGCTATATCATTCAATGTCTTGTGCATTTTACTGAACCAAACATGGCTTAAAGTGTCTTTGCTATATCCTTCAACGTCTTGTGGATTGTACTGAAGTGGGGTCTGTTCTCATCAAGATACTCCCAACACTCCAACATCAAAGTATATACTGCCGCTGGTGTTCCTGGGGGAGCCGCCATTCTGTTGCCTAGAATTTTAGAATACAAAATTATTTTGATTTCTTTGACTTAGTTTAATTTTTTTAGATACATTTTCTAATATGTTTAATTGCGACTCTAGAAACTGAAACTGTCACCTCCAGATGATGTCTATACCTCGCTGCAGGAATAAGACGAGTTTCTTCTTCTTTCTTTGCATTCACTGGCTGTAAACTCAAGCGGAAACTTCTGGCTGTTTCGTCCACTTCTGGACTCAAGTCCTATTGCAGAACATGTAAATCAGTTTTACAGATCTGACTCTTGTGTATACAGACTGTTGGTAACTTGCCTCTGAAGCAGAAGCACGGCGACTTCGAAGGAAGCTCTTAATTAGTCCACTCTTACGACATGCTTTTGGGTAGGCAGTGGGTCTTTTCTTGTTTTCCCCATTATGGGGCGCCGGAACCCACATGTGGATACAAAAGGTTTGAAACCCAGCATCGTAACTTGTGATTTGTATGCTGTCTAGAATGTCCTCCGGTATCTGCTTCTTTGTTCTGCATCTACGAGAGTCGGTCAGTAAATTACACTTAGTTAATTATTCAATTTAAATAACAGTTACAAAAACTTGGTTTCTTACCGAAATTCCCCGGCTGTAGAATTTCGGTGGAAAGTTCTGGTTGATTGTCCCTCTTCTGCGAGACCTGGTGCTTGTTTCCATACCATGGAGGTTTTTTTTGTTTTTTTTTTAATTCGGCGGCACACCCTGTATTTAGCCAATAGGTGTGGATTCTTCAAATGCACAATGTTGATTCCTCACCTCACAGGCAGATGCACTTAGCCTTTGAAGGAAACACCCCCAATTAGTCGTCAATAAAGTCGTCCCCTTGTGCAACTTTTTGTTATTTGAAGTCCCACCCTGGCTTTTGCCATGGGCCCTAGATATTGCCGGGTCTCAGATATGGCCTAACGGATTAAAGGGGTTTCTGGGACCTCTCCACGAGGACTGTTCGTGATCCCTCAATCTACAATGGTGGCAATTTGCTGCCACCGGTAGTTTATCGCTTGTGTAATGTCCCATTTGGGGTACAGTAAGAGAGAGAGAGAAGAGAACGGACATGGAGCGAGAGAGAGTCCACTTCTGGAAAAGAGTAGAGTGAGAAGAACTTGATTTTAGAGCGGATGCGAGATAAGAGCAGAGAGATGAAGAGAGCGTTCGAGAGAGAGAGAGAGAGAGCGAGAGAGCAATTAGTCACCTTTCCCGAAACGCTCCCAATTAGTCGTCTTTTACGACATACTTGTTAGAGGGATCAGCGAGTCTATAATTAGTTCTCCCAAAAGGGGGCCCTAGGACCCATATAATCAACAGTAGTAGTAATAATAGTTATAATAATAATAACAACAACAACAATAACAATAATTTGGGATTTGTAGCTTAGAATTATGAACATAGTTTCATATTTCTGATATACCAAATTCGATTTGGCTACAGACGATTTGACAATAGGTTGCTTTGCATTCATTTTCACTTTTGTATGAACAGCTAACTCATTAGAATGGCAAACTACTAAATGTAAAACTGTATAGTAATGCAGCAACCAACAAATGTTGTTGTTGCTTTGTACTGTCCTGTAGAGGTTATGTAACAAACTGTAAACTATTTCAGTGGCCTCAAGGGTTTCCCAGTAAAATATTTGTGTGTAACAGGAGAACAGTTCAGCAGAAATCAACACTGCAGACGTAAGCTGGATATAACTGAACAAACAAATGATGGAGAAATATTTTGGTTCACGTTAAAATGCTCATAGCAGTAGCCCTGCTTTGAGTCCTGCAGAATTATCTTCCTCTTCTTCTTCGCGTTCACCAGCTGTACACTCTGGCGGAAAGTTCTGGTTGCTCGTCCACTAATGAACTGCAGTCCTGCTTCAGAACCTGAGTGTTGCGTGTGCATCAGTTTTACAGATCCTTGTCTCTGCGGCAGATGCACTCCGACTTTAAAGGAAGCTCCCCAATTAGTCGACTCTTACGACATGCTTTTGGGGAGGCAGTGGGTCTATTCTTGTTTTCCCCATAATGGGGCCCCTGGAACCCACACAGGGGCTGCAGAATTATAACGTTGTGCCATTGGGCAGGCACCAGACAGCACAACTGGTCACTAAATAGTTCAAGGCAAGAGTTACAATCTCCATCACAAGTTTCCGCATCTGTAAGACGAGGCAGGTCCCGCAGCAAGTGGCTGCATTTTATATGTGCCCTTCTTGTCCTCAGTTTATTGGACCAGACTGCGCTCAGAGAGCACCAGTTCTTTTTTGCACACCTCTTCTCAACGACTATCTGTCTGCTGCAGTGCCCCTCCATGTTTCAGCATCTATGACAAGGATTTTAATATCCTATTTACATGCATCCTGATATCGCATCTGTGGTCTTCTAACTGGCCTCTTCCACAGTTTTGCTGTGGCTATCTCTTCATAAAAGAGAACTTTAGGAATACAGCCATCTGCATTAAAGATATTTGGCTTCCACACTGAGAGTGTCTATGTTTGAGTAAAATAGTGCACTTTAGTAATATCTGCTTTTTCAAGCATTTATTTGATTGTTATATGGTGTTAAATATTTTGTTTTTTGTTGTTGACCTTAATACATGACACTCGTTCAAACCACACTAGAGTGAAAAGTCAAATGCAAGAAGCAGGCATTGATACAAGTGGGAAAATAATCTCAAGAGGTAGAGTTGCGGCAGCCAGTCAGAGTAGAATCTGGCACCAGCAACGGATGTTCTGTTGAACTAGCATTCCACTCTCCTCTTGGTTACGCTCACTGGCTGTAAACTTCTGCAAAAAGTTCTGGTTTGATTATTCTCTTCTGGACTGCTTTTGTTCCAGAACTTGAGTTTTGTGTACGCATCCGTTTTACAGATGTTTTGTTTGCAGACTGTTGGTTATTTCCCTTTCAAGCAGATACACTGGAAGGCAACAACCTTAATTATTCACATTTTAACATGCTTTTTAGAAAGGCATTGAATCTAATCTCATTTTTTCAATTTGGCACTGGAACCTCCTCTTCTTCTTCTTCATCCTTCCCAAAGTCCAGGCTCTGTGGTGTTGGTAGTCATGTCTCGTGTACTTTCAATCAACTTTGACACAGATGATCCTCCATGCGTGACGTCAAACTGTCCAGCATCTTTTCTCTCGGTTTCCTTCTGCCTCTCCTCCCCTCCAACTTTCCTACTATCAGGATTTACTTCATTTTTCTACTGCTCATCACATGACCAAAAAATTAAGATTGTCTCTTTCTATTGTGGGCAACCAGTTCTCTTCATGAGTCAGTTTTTTTCAAGACGTCTTCATTATTCTTTTTATCTGTCCAGGGTATTCTCATCATTCGTCTAGAAAACCACATTTATGCACCACATTTTTGTTCACTAATCTACCAACTGTCCATGATTCACTTCCATATATCAGGATAGGATTTAAATAACATTTAAGATACCAGCACAGAGATCATCAGAGTCAACAGTTTGTGTGGAGCTAGCACTTGATTAAGTCATTTATGACTGATTAAAACTGTTTCCCTTCCCTACCTTCTTGATCCACTAATTCCTCACTAGCGCTCTTTAGTTTGCTAAAACAATTTGTATCTTCTTACCTTCTTCTATCCATAGCCTTGCTTTTATGTTTGTCATCCCCATATATGGGGTCTTCCCATTGGAGAACACTTCCCACATTAGAACACCAAAAGCTCCATACATCACACAGCGAAGTATACTTGCCTACAGAAAACAGGAACAAGGAAAATGTATCAGATCATTATATTTATAAAACTCAATCAATACGCTATGTACCAGATTATTGTGTGCATGAAAATCCCCGGGGCGTGAACCCGGACCACAAGTAGTTGTAACCCGGTCACCGCGCAGTCCGGTTAAGCCAACTACGCTAGAGAGCCGGGATAAACTCAGTCAATAAGGAAGATATCAGTTCAAGATGAAGTGGCAGAAACAATACACATGGTATCAGTTCACCATATCTGTGAAATTCAGTTAATAAACAAGATAACAGTTCAGGATGACCATGCATTGCAGTAGGAGTCCATTTTAAGTGTATTGATTCATACAACGGATCAACATCACGGCACAAGGGTAGTAACCCATAAGTGCCCCATTCTACTTCGAACTCAAATCTGAGTCCAAAGAATCTCAGCACAATGCACGAACTTCGTAACATCGGCGAGGATCCTGAAATACTTTGTGTAGATTTTTAAACTTTTGCCCGGGCAGCGCCGTCAGGCTACTTCTTTTTAAAATAATTTCTAGCTGCCTGATATTTTTTACTTGCGCAACAGTACACACGGGCATCCGATGTTTCTACCCAGAGACCAGGGGAAATTACTAGAAATCCACGTGAAAACATCCCTAGCCTTCACAGGGGCCTGAACCCAGGACCTTCCAGCATTCGAGGCAAACGCCATGCCTCAAAACCACTCATCCCCCAGAAAAATGTCAGTATAATAAAGAATGTTATATTCGCAGACTTTTCTCTCTCTCCTCTCTCTCTCTCTCTCTCCCTTCTCTCTCTCTCTCTCTCTCTCTCTTTCTTTCTCTCTCTCTCTCTCTCTCTCTCTCTCTCTCTCTCTCTCTCTCTCTCTCTCTCTTTTTCTACTATAAACAAATTACGCTGGACCTCACCACAAGTTGTCTCATAAAAAGATGCTAGAATGCACAACAAAATATCTAATACAGTAGTGTTACAAAACAAAAATAATGCCTCATAAAGGTGTCAGTACTGCGCACCATTGCATACCATCAGAAAACACCCTGGCTGTTATATAATTATCGTAATATAATGACAATATTGCAAATGAAATGGTTTTTGTCCACTCAAATGCCTTCTGATGCTAAACCTATCAAGGCATATACCAAAAGAGGAGAGGGACGTAGAGCAAAAGTAAGACGAATAACAAGAAAGAAGGATAACAACAGAGAAAATCTACAGTACCACGCAGCGTGTCTATGGGCGAAGCTGCCAGAAAAAGCACACAGCAGGACCTTATATCTTCCTCGACACCCAAAGCGATAAAAGAGGACGTGAAGAAGAAGAGAAGAAATTGATAGAAACTATTATGTCAGAAATCATGACAATATTATGTCAGAAGTTGTGGTAAGGCATGGATCGCCTATGCCAGCCAGCAAGGCAGTTGATGATGATTAATAAAACATTTGCCAAAAATTAGTTAGGATGAGATTTGACTACTAAATATTAAATACACTAGATAAAATTAAACACACTGAAGATTCAATCAGATGTTAATACGACAATTTCACTCACAAAAGTTCAAAGCTTCTGGCGCTGTCCATTTGACTGGAACTTGATTATTGGCCGAGGTCACTGAATACACTTGCTCCTCTCTGGACATACCAAAGTCCGAGATTTTGATCACATTGTTTTCCCCCACAAGACAGTTTCTTGCCGCACAGGTCCCTGGGGAAATATTGTTGTTATCCTTCAAACATATCCATCAACTTTGAACTGGTAATTTTAACTCATTCATTACAGAGAAACAAATCATGTATTTACTGGTTCTTTGATAGATGATATTGTATCTTCTTGTGTCTTATCTAAGTGTTAAATGAATTGAGTTGAGAAGTAAGATCACAAAAACATATTTTTAATTTTCTTTCAAATAGAAATGTTTGAACTAATTAGCTAATTCAATACAAAGTAATGCATCATACCTTTATTAGTTCCTAGATATTTGACATGCTTTCTTTAGCTTCTGTTTGTGCGTGTATGTGTGTGTGTGTGTGTGGGGGGGGGCATATTTTGTTTTGTTTAAATCCCTCAGGACGCAGACAATAGAAGCAACACCTCCCGGATTAGAGGTCCTATCACTGAGAACCCCATTCAACTGCATAACACAGTTGTACTCAGTCACCACGAAATAGTTAGGAAATTACTTGGGGTCCAGAGTAAATGGGTGATTTTTCCTTAACTTCTTTAACATACCCAAAGTATTCTAGTTTCCAAGGCATGATTCTGCTGGTGTATACCAGTTTTCTTTAATGTTTAGATCTCAATGAATGTTAGTATTTATCTTCTTCCTGATCTACAGTATTACTAGAATTGTTCTGTCATATCTTAGTTCACATTTTCCATTTTCTTCTTTGGTGATTGTACCATGTTTTAGTAATGCTTCATTTAAACCACTGTTGTGGTAATATGGCCAAAGTGCTTCAGTTTCTGACAGGTAGATTTGGCTGAGTACTTACAATACAATGCTCTAATTCAGGAGATCCAAACTCAGATGATCTATGTGAGATGATAGCTATGGTTACTGTCCAGGAAGAACAACTAATTCCTAACCTGCACAATTCATACCAACAGTCTAAACTATGTGTTCTTGAACCTCCAAGTTAACGTACCCCGCCCTTAGCCTCATTCCTGTCCTACACCCCCCCCCCCCCAACCCCCCACAAAGACTGGTATAATAAGAGTTTTATTTTCGCTTCCAAAAACTAAACAGTAAATATACTAAGCAAAAAGAAAATGGCAGAGATGAAATTTCAAACTCACCTGTGAATACAAGACCTCTCTTCCAAATACTCCATCCCACTGGCAGCATCCACACACATCTGGACTTTCTGTTTGGCTGAATGTGTGACCCCATGTACTTTTAGATAGGATAACAAAGATCCCTCTGAAATAAAAGCATTGACGTATAATATTTAATATGCATAGGCATACTAGTGCTGTGGCCAAAAGGACATGGGTTCAAATCTGCACCACGGTGTTTTGAAAAAAAACTAAAATAATTAACTTTGACTTTGGCTGAAGCAGACGAAAATGTAAAAGAAAATTTCCTGGGAAGTAAAGGTGGGTAGTGTGATGTCGATCAAATTAATCTTCTTTTTCTTCGAAGATGCAAGAGAAGTATTTTACACGCCCTACATCCAAACACATGTCTACAATTGTTGCACAGTTTGGGATGGTTGCGCCAAATCCTATGTTAAAAGACTAAGCTCTCTTCAAAGCGGCAAGGGAAGTCCGTCTCCAGTCAGCCGTGGTTGTCTGCTGAAATAATATCAAGGTCCAGTGGATAGGAGAATTCGTCCTGTTCAGCTGTACGGCCAGCCCAGAGTTGTGGGACGCTGAAGACCTTTGGAGCTATAGTGGTCAGTGAGAGGTCGCTACAAGTTGAGAGAGCGAGTGAGGACTAAATAGACTATGTTCGAATGTCAAATATGATCAATGTCTACGTCTCTGCAGTTTTGTCCATGTGTGGGTTTGTGTATCCCCTCTTGTGTTTCTGTCAAATAAATATGCTAAGTGACGGAACTATTGTGGTCGAGTCCTGCTTCGAGAGTGACGGAACTATTGTGGTCGAGTCCTGCTTCGAGAGTGACGGAACTATTGTGGTCGAGTCCTGCTTCGAGAGTGAGGGAGCATCTTTAGACACTTAGAAGTGAGCTGATTAGTGAGTAACTCAGATAGCACACAACAACAGGATGGGTAAATGGTTAAGGAGATGGTGGTGAACGGGCAACTTTGACAAGACCACAAGAAACTCTTGTAAAAAATAAAGATGTTGCCAGATATGAACACTATACAGAGAGCCAAAGAAGATCATTAACACCAACACAGAACTGTCAGTCATCACACGCTGAAGAAAAAGATACTGAAGATGGGATCGGAGCATCGAATAAAGACCAACTCTGCCATAGGGTCAATGAGAGGCTGGATTTCTTCCAGCTACAAGGAAACCTGTTGGTCATAATGTGGAGGTTCGTTCTTGATTTAAAAAACAAACAAACTGGCAATTAGTGCCCTCTGTATAAAACTTTTGTGGTGTAGACGGAACGGGGGTGGGGGGTCTTTGAGCCTGAGGATTTACGACAGCATGGCTGGTGCTGTCGTCATGGACTGTGTGGGTGAGGATTTTTTTTTTTGCCGCTAAAAAAAAAAAATCCCTCGCTTTACAGAGGATTCGAACCCAGATTAATAGATCATTCATTGATCAACAACAAACAACAGTCAACAATGAAATCACTAATCACAGCTTACTTGGAATGAACTCCATAACAATCATGACCGGCTGTTTCTGTGCTGCAATGCCGATGTACTTGACTATGTTTGGATGATTGTACTGCTTCAGGATCCTGCCTTCCTGTAAGAACTTCATCTTCTGCTCCTCGGTCAGCGTGTCTTTACAAGTCTTCACCGCCACCTCCTGCTTCTTGTATAAACCTTTGAATACCTCACCGAAATTACCCTGCGGAATAATGAGTGCAAGTGTCTGAGCCATGTTTTTTTAAAAATTGTTTTGAATGTTATGTGGGTTTCAGGGCACTATTGTATAAGAAAAAACAGAACAGACTGTTGATCTCTAGCATTACCATCATCAATCAACAGGTCCTTTACAGAACGAGGCTCTCTTCATGACACGCATGAAAGCCCCTCTTTGTCCTGCCAATTCTCCAGCCCTATATGCTTTTATAGCCACTGAATCTTCAATGTCATGTTTCCTAGATCGATAGCATGACGAAACATAGATAGGTTTGCTAGATAAATTGGATAGATGATAGATATAGACTGAAGGGAGCAGACATCACAATCTTCACTAGCTGCAAGACAAACATTACATTTCTGTATATTAAAATCTCTGCCAATTAAAAACAGGAATATTGTTTGGAGAAGATTTAGAAGGATAAAGAAGAAGCTTTGACCAGAAGAATGTAGGAAAGAGGATGGACAAGGCAAGTTCGGAATAATAATTTAATACTGAGAGACAATCAATAATTGATATATATTATTTATATCATATATATATATAGTATATATAAGATATATACAATACCATGTAGATAGATAGATAGATAAACCGCGTTCAGATTAGAGAGATGGAGGGCTATAGTGCGGCCCCTGGCAAGAGAGGGTTTGGAGAGAGAGAGAGATTGCACCCCACAAGAAATGACTTGACAACAGTTATTCACTCAGTGAAAGTGATTTTTTCAAACAGGGAATAGAACTTGCATGGCAAACTGGTTTATGTATTTCAGGCTATTGAGCCTTTGCAACAGATGTATTGCAAAATTACGAAAAAATTGCATCGCCCGTCCGTGGCTAACGGAAAATGACTTGTTACATTATATACTCAGTCAGAAAGTTTTATTTTTTGAACTACTTCTGAGCTCTGGTCATGTTCCAGAGCTTGAATTCTGCATCCAAATCCATTTTAAATATCTGGTTTATGTTTATTTATTTTGCAGGCCATTGAGCCTTCCCATGCAGATGTATTGACTTGAAATACAATACCCCTATTTAGTAGACCTTTGCGACATGCTTGTATTTACTCCTCCCCCCCCCTACCCCCCACATAATGAGACCAGGAACCCACCTAGGAAACAAGTGGAAAATAAGATATCTCAGAACTGGATACTTACAAATCCTATTTTCTCTTTCAATTCAATATCATCATTAAGCAACTCCCATTCACGAAAAATTGGAGTTTTCAGAATGACGCCTGTTTTTGATGTGACTGGCCGACCAGACTCGTACTGCTTGCGTACTAGCTCTTGAATTGTGGGGTAGGAATCACCTTCAAAGTGCCACCCACTTTCCTGGAACATAAGACAGTAAAGTAGAATGTGTGTGTGTGTGTGTGTGTGTATACATATATATGTGTGTGTGTATACTACATGACTACCAAAGAAGAAAATACACATGCTACACACACACACACACACACACACACATACACACACAAACAAACACTTATACATACAATGACAACTGTATAACAAATAAGTTTCCTACAGAAACAACATAAGAGGGTACTATCACCAACAATTGGAACACTATCACCAACAATATGGACACTATCAACAACAATTTGAACACTATCACCAACGATTAGGACACTATCAACAACAATTTGAACACTATCACCAACAATTTGAACACTATCACTAACAATTTGAACACTATCACTAACAATTTGAAGACTATCAATAACAGTTTGAATTCACATCCAGAATTTCTGACCAGAATTGCCAGGCTGACCTAATCTGAAATAAGCACAGGGAAATGTCTTGGGACATTGATGTTACTGGGGTGGTGAGGCTGACAGCTTCGTTCATGGAGCGTATACTGGTCTAGAAATTTGTAGGTTTAGCACCATATGTCAAATGTTCGAGGACTGAGAAAAGGGTCCTTTACAATTTTATTTAAACAATTATGTTTGTCCCTGACAGAAGAATTGACATAAAAACGCCTGGGCATACTCACTGATGCTACGTCTTCCATAGCAAGTGTCTTAAGCTTGTTTGTGTGTGTGTGTGTGCGTGCGTGCGTGTGTGTGTGTGTGCCTGCCTATTAAAAAATCCTCAGTATCATTAACAATAAGACTCAAGACTGGCTTCATCACCTCTCATGAAAGAGTCGATGTATCATATCAGGTTAGTAACAGGGCACAGCAGACTTTTCCAATTTATGTTTAAGACGTTTGCTATCAGAAACATGCAGGTATGTCCCTGCAACTTTGCACCTGAAAAAATGCCGAGCATGTACTCCAATACTGTAGATTGCATACTGCTAACAGTTGAGTTGAGTCAAGAATTGACATAACACACTTGGGGCATTCCCATGTATGCTCCGTCCTCATTTTCAGCAGCCAGCGCAGAGTTTCAATACTGATGGTTCCGGTCAAAATCTGATTAAAAGTCCATCTCCTCTGAGTGTAGTCAGCCGGCCAGACCCTCTGGTTACACCCAGGTGCCTCATTCTCTCCAGGCCATAATAATCTTTTTTCTCAACTGGTTCCGTTGCTTGTTCCCAAAGGGCCTTGCCAACAACTGCTATCTGGTTAAAAGTCCGTTTTGCTTACTGATAACAAAGCTGTTCCAGCCTCAATCAAAACAAAGCTCTATGGTACACAGGGAGATTTGGACTGCACAGTAGTGTTCATCAAGGCTCCTGACATAAAACAACAATCACGAGTCGCTGTAACTAGAAGGTAAAACAACAAACAAGAGACAAAGTAACTAGTAGGTAAAACAACAAACAGGAGAGGAAGTAACTAGAAGGTAAAACAACAAACAGGAGACGAAGTAACTAGAAGGTAAAACAACAAACAAGAGTCGAAGTAACTAAAAGGTAAAACAACAAACAGGAGACGAAGTAACTAGAAGGTAAAACAATAAACAAGAGACGAAGTAACTAGAAGGAAAAACAACAAACAAGAGTGGAAGTAACTAGTAGGTAGAACAACAAACAGGAGACGAAGTAACTAGAAAGTAAAACAACAAACAGGAGACGAAGCAACTAGAAGGTAAAACAACAAACAAGAGTCGAAGTAACTAAAAGGTAAAACAACAAACAGGAGACAAAGTAACTAGAAGGTAAAACAATAAACAAGAGACGAAGTAACTAGAAGGAAAAACAACAAACAAGAGTGGAAGTAACTAGTAGGTAGAACAACAAACAGGAGACGAAGTAACTAGAAAGTAAAACAACAAACAGGAGACGAAGCAACTAGAAGGTAAAACAACAAACAAGAGAGGAAGTGACTAGAAGGAAAATCTACAAACAGCAGAGGTAGTAAATAGAAGGTAAAACAACAAACAGGAGACGAAGTAACTAGAAGTTCAAACAATAAACAAGATACGCAGTAACTAGAAGGAAAAACAACAAACAAGAGAGGAAGTGACTAGAAGGAAAATCTACAAACAGCAGAGGTAGTAAATAGAAGGTAAAACAACAAACAGGAGACGAAGTAACTAGAAGTTCAAACAATAAACAAGAGACGCAGTAACTAGAAGGAAAAACAACAAACAAGAGAGGAAGCAACTAGAAGGTAAAACAACAAACAAGAGACGAAGCAACTAGATGGTAAAACAACAAACCAGAGACGAAGTAACTGGAAGGAAAAACAAGAAACAAGAGAGGAAGTAACTAGAAGGAAAACAAAAATATTTCTTACTGGAAGAAACTGTATAATAAAATGTCGATGGTTTTGCCAGAAGACACTCAGGACAAACTGCGGCTCGCTGGTTTTCTTGTTCTTGGACTCCCTAACGAGAAAGTCGCCATCATTGACTAGCAGACGTTGTACCTCTTCTCTGGGTAGAATACCGTGGAACCACTGTTCGTCAGCGATTCGGCTTTTGGCTTCAGATGCGTTCATGTCCTGGTCACAAATGTAAGCTTCGTTATATCGGCACGTTACAGAATAGACGGATCATAACAAATCATTATTCTCCGCCTCTAAACAGCGCACAACCAATTTAATCACATGTGCACACAATTCAAAATAGGCGTATCAGCCATGAGTACCTGTGGTTCGCGCCCCAGACAGCAGAGCATGTACTTCAGGACTGCACCGAATTTGTTACATTAAGGCAAATCTTTTCACCAGAAAGAACAACAGTGTAACGTAAACTCTATGGACCACTGAATGAACTAAACACAACTGTGAAATAAAATGAGGGACCAAAATTGTTGATATAGACAACATTCAGGCGAATGAAAGAAGAAGAAGAATAGACAATTTTGATAATGAAAATTCATGAACACTTTCTGTGCCAAGCAACGCAACATGTGTGACTAGATATTAGGCATGTGTACTGCTGAGTAAGTTATCTATGCTTTATATTTAGATTAAGTGAAGGATTCTTAAAAAAAAAAAAAGACAAAATACATGTTTCCTTCAAGGATTGGGTAGTTGGCCCCTGTAGAAGTAGTATACCCATCAGTGTTGTCATTCTTGCTCTCTCAGATATAAGCTAGGACCTTCTACGACTGAGAGTCAAAAACATGAATCCCTGCATGAGTTCCTGGGTTCATGGGACCCCATCAAAAGCATGTCATGAAAGACAACTAAATACTAGGTCGCTGAAATCAGATTTTTTGGCCTGAAAGATACAGATATTGCAGCTTGGTAATAAACCACAACACAACATGTCAACTACCCTTTCAAGGGTAGACACAAAAGAAATAGAAGAAGAACTTAAGGAACTGAACCTGTCACGTGCATCTAACAACAGTGCCTTCCTGCAGAAACAGGTGTGCTTCAGTGCATGGCAAACATAAAACTTTTCATTAGTCAGGTCTGTCATACACCTTATACCTAAATCTGACAATGACTGGTAGTGAGTGACTGGTCTTTTCTTTCCAGCTGGTGACGCTAAGTGTTTGTAGCTAGCTCTGCCTGTATTTAATCTCCCCACCATCTTTTTTGTCTGACATGTGACCTATTCTCATTTTGCTCTTGTGTTTGTGCAATTTTGTTTCTCTCTTTTCTGCCATTTTCTCTATATGCCCCAACCATTGCAGTCTATTAAAACCCTCATGATGCCAGTAACAAGTGCTGATTTAAACAGATGCTATGCTAGTTAACAATAAACATTATTGGTCAGTGTCTTTTTGCTGTATGTTTTACACTTAGAAACCCGTCAATGAATGAATGACCTACCACTGACTGTCCTAGCTCTCTCAACTTCAACATCGAAATTTTGGAGTTGGCTGAAACTGATAAATCATGTCTGAAATGGAACAAATAAAAAAATATTACAAAAGAATTAAAAGAAGAGAGAAATGTTAATCTTGTTAAAGTGTATCCAGACCTGTATTTAGGATGTATGACACCCAGGTGTCGTCATTTATTTTATGCCCTCTCTTTACATATTAACATGTTAACTACTATTTACAGTTTTACGTTCTCAAAATGTTGTATAGCTGTGCAGCTGCACATGTTTCACATGCCTAAATACGGTCTTGGGTTTACATAATATGAGAAAATAGGACCTAATGTTCATGACTGATGTCAGTTTTAGGCCAGATTTACTTTAATTTGTCCTCGCCTGGGCATTAATTACCAAAGGTAAAGAAAAGACGCTGGCAATGGATAGGACACATGTTGAGAAAACCTGAGACCAATATAACTAGAATGTCCTTGCACTAGAACCCCCAGGGGCATAAGAATAGAGGAAGACCCAAAAAAAAAAAAACACACACACATAGAGAAGGGAGCTAGAGAGTAAAGTTAAAAAAAAGATGGGGAGGACAAGAGGAGAGCAGCATGGGATAGCGAAGGAGAGAACGACCTGGCGTGAGTTGGTTGAGTGCCTATGCTTCACTGGGAGTAGAAGATAACATTTCTGGGTCTGAAAGGAATCGAATAATAACACTATAGGATAGTGTGAGTTAAATTGAAAATAAGGATAGAATGGGTTAATGTAACATGTGCGTGAATAATAAGATATAAATGAAAAGACACATAACTAGAGGGTAACAAGTCAATGTGTGGTCGGTTGCTTGGCATTGAATAAGTCAAGTAAGAATTAAGGCGTATTTGCTAAAGCAGTAGTAAAGGATTTAAGTCTCATGCCTTTTAGAGTATTGGATAATAGTAAAGTAAAATAAAGTGAAGTGAAGAAAAGTGAAGTAAAGTGAAGTGAAGTGAAGCAAAAAAAGTAAAGCAAAGTTTAGAAAAATGTGAATTAAAACGTGAAGTAAAGAGAAATAAGGTAAAGTTAAGTGAATAGAAGTGAAGGGAATTAAAGTGAAGTTTTGTTATGTTATCACAAACGACGTCTTTGCACATCGGGCATTCCCATGCGTGCTCAGTCCTCCAATACAGCAGCCACTCCAAGGTACTGATTGTTTTTCATGAGAAGTTGGTTACAGTAACTCCTGTTTTTACCTCGAAGATGGCATAGACGTGCTTCACCAATCTTAACTCCTTGCTCACACAATCGTGTTAACGTCAGAGATTCGACATTTCTCCCCAACATATTTCGTACAGAATTAATAATTGTAGCTCTGTCCAGTTACTCCTGCGTGCCCAGGTGTGTAGATCCAGATTTTGGAGGTTAAATTTGACTTCCGAATGCCTTCTACCCATTTGAAGCTTAGAATAATACCTGTTGCGATTTTCTGAAGTATGTTCACTGAAATATGAAGTGAGGTGAAGAATGCCTTTTCATGCATTCAAGCATATGTGGGTATGTTGTCCTTGTCACATATTTACACAACTATTTGCATTTGATGGGTGTTGTTACTAATATCACATTGGCCATCTTTATTTCCCAAAAGATTTCCTCCCAGCCATGTAAAGGGGGGGGGGGTGGGGGGAGGGGGGGGGTCAACCAGAGAGCTCAGGTCAAGTTTTCTTACAGCCACCAGACAACTAATCAGTCATCATCATCATCATCATCATCATCATCAATCAACAGGTTCTTTACATAACGTTGCTTCCACCATGGGGTGCCTGAAAGTCACCCTCTGTAGCCAATTTACCAGCCCTATGTGCTTTTACCCCCAAAATAATGAACTTACAATGGGACGAATTTAGAAGCTGTGAAGAAAAATGATAAATAAATGTATAGGCAACTAATAATACAACAGTTAGAAGGTAAAGAAAATTGCGCTATATTAGACCCACCAGGAGAGAAACAAGCAGAGAATCACAAAACAGGTACTAAAATGGGAAATAAATGGACTGGGGAAGCAACGATATCCAAAGAAACCCTAAAACAAATGGTTGACGAGAGAGGCCAAGGGTGCTGGACTGGATTCCATCCATGACATTAAAGAGATAGGTTAGACTGTGAGCCCTGTGTGACATATAATGACACAACAGGACAATGATGATGATGTGCTTTCATAGACAATGCATTTTTAGTGTCTTGTATCCATCTTTGTGGAGGTCAGCAGTCTGCCTTATGTTCTATAAACCGTACCCTCCCTCACTGTTTTGTCCAGGCCACTCAATCACCTAGCTACAACTACTCAGGTAAAATTATTCAACTAATCAAATTTCAACAAATTAACCATCCATGTACCATCCAACCAACCAATCAATCAAGCAACTTTTTTAACAACCAATCAAACAGCTAGTGGGCGTGTCAAGTTGGTCATGTGTCAAAGTATACATTGCACAGTATTATCGTGACTTTGAGGTGACAGGTTCGCTTCCTGGCATGGTAACTGTGGATTTTAACTTATTTTGGGTGTCTAATACATCCTCAGATCTCTACTTCTTTCTATGAGAGTCAATCTAACCATATTAATTTGCATATCAAACAACCTATAAACCAATCAGGCATACAATCAGTCAACTACTTGATTGATTACCCATCAAATGAATTAACCATCTAACTAAATTTAACAACTAAACCAACCAACCAATCAACAACACATATAATCAAACATCCAACCAATAAATGAACCTGTCAGCTGAGTCCAGCCAAACTAACTAAGCTACTAATCAACCCCCCCCCCAAATTACCATTAACCAATCAATTGCCTAGCCAAACTAACCATCAATCAATCAATCATCTAAGTAAAATAATCAGCCAACCAATCAATTACCCAACCAAACTAACCACCAAACAATCAATTGCCACCCCCAAACTAACCAGCCAGTTAATCGTCCAAACAAGCAACCATACTAGACAAAGAAAATGCCCTTTACTTCTCGTAACCAGGTGATGGCTTCTTTTTAGCTGGTTTATCATCAGGGCTATTTTCATCAGCAATTGACGTCACCTGTAAATTAGCATCTTTCTTTTTAAAAGGATTTATCTTGGTCAGTTGTTTCATAAATGCAGTGTCGTTGAAGTTTCCATGGGATGTTGAAGATGTTGAAGAAGCTGAACTATTAGAATCCTGTGGAAAAGGACAAGCAGGCAATATAAATGTCATTTACCTAATTTTATACACATTGTATAAACAATGTTATGTAAAAGGTAAAGTCGGGAGATGTAAACTAGCGTCATTGCATACGGTTATAAACCATAAGTGCTCTGCCACCAGTAAGGACAGCTGATAAGAAACTGTCTGCCTGTGTCGCCATTCGCACGTTACTCTGTAGCTACATCGACGCTCCTCCATTTACCCCAAAGTGTCACTCTGGTACCCATTTCCTAAAGGCTGGGTGAACCCCGGGAATCGCCCGGTTTAGAACACCGACCGTGGGCTGCAGCGAGTCGCAGCTGGATTTGAAAGCGAGCCTCTATCGACTACGCTAACGCGTATGTTATGTTATTGTGAGTGCGGATGTATGACAGACAACAATATGGGGTAATAATTAAGTTCTAGGACATATTTTTTTTTAAAAGTAAGTTAGACTTATTGCTTTCTGGGTTTCATCTACTTGAAAGTAGTGCTTTTCTAACTGTGCATATTTCCCCCAGTGTTCACGTCAGTGACAGAAGCAGTTATCGTAGGTACTTTCTGTATTTGCCATTATTTGTCTTGTAACTCTTGAGTGTGTTAAAACACCCATCTCTCAGAGGTTTCTTTTAACAGACCAACCAGCTAATTAACTAGCCAACTAACCAACAAACAAATAACCAGCTAACAAACCAACTACAAAAATAAACTAACCAACTAACTAACCAATCACTAACTAACCTGTGAAATACCCTGCTGACTTATCAGAAACTATGAACTAACCAGCCAACTAAACAATCACCAGTCAAAGAACCCACCAGTTAACCAACCAAGCAACCAGCCACCTAGTCAACCACCAGCGAAATAACTAGCAATCTAACCAGTCACCAGTCAAACAACCATCCAACTAACCAGTCATTAATGAAACAACCATCCAACCAAACAGTCATTTCACCAACTAACCAAATACGAAACCAGCCAGCTTACCAGCCAGCTAACCAGCCAATTAACCAACTAATTTTTTAACCAATCAGCCAACTTATTAACAAACTAGATAATCAACCAACCAATCCAACCAACAAACCAGATATCCTTCATTTATTAATTTAACAGATTCTATATATCTCAGTATCGTATCATAAAGTAAGAAACAGATGTATTCAACCATCAGCTCACCCCGTCAACAATGTCATGAATATCAGAAGCTGGAGGTGCATCAGACGACCCAAGAGCATCCAAGGGCTGCTGAATCAACGATGCCAGTTTTTCCAGTTTTCTCAAGTTGCCTTCAAGTTCTAGAGCTTCCCGCGAGAGGTTCTCCAGTTCGGATCTCTTTGCTACATAACTGTATAACCACACATTGACACATTAAAGCACTGGTTATAAGGATAGTGTTTACAAAGAGTTGAGTGTAGAGTGGACAAGGCAGCTTATGGGACAATCCCATAAGCACTGTGTTCCCTTCTTCAGCAGTTGATGAAGAATCAAATTTCGACGGTGCCAGTAGCTGCATGATGAAATGTTTTTCATGTCTTTCGTGTCTTTCCTCTAAGTGTTGATTAACTATCAACCAGATCCCCAAGTCACTTCTCGCTGCATCGTTCTCTCCAGATTGTGAAGGTATGTTAGTTGTCCCACACTGTTCACCTGCTTCCAAAGGATTTTGACCACTCTAGTTTGTCATGCCTTAAGCCATGGTTGCAGCACCAGCCAATCCATCTGCCTGTTTATTGCCCAGTTTTACAAATGGAAGCTAAGAAAGTATACCAGTGACGACTTGTGGACACAGTCATAGGTTTATAGGGATAAAATAGCTAAAGGGGGGAAGCATAAAGGGGAAAGCAGAGAAAATAAGAGGGTATGCCGGAAGCTAGAGGGAAACAAAACATAAGAGATTGCAGAGAAGATAAAAGGGGGAAGCTAAGAGGTATGCAGAGAAGCATAAGAGGGAGAAGCATAAGAGGATATGCAGAGAAGCATAAGAGGGAGAAGCATAAGAGGATATGCAGAGAAGCATAAGAGGGAGAAGCATAAGAGGGGAAAACTAAGAGGGAAAGCAAAGGGGGAAACATAAAGGGGGAAGCTAAAAGGAGAAACAAAGGGGAGAAGCATAAGAGGGGGGGAAACATAAAGGGGGAAATAAGAATGCAAGAACAGACGGGGGTAAATAAAGACAAAAATGCAACAGAGAGATGGTGGGACGGGAAAAGGATGGGGTGGTGGTGAATGGATGGAGGGTGGGAAAAGGATTTTGGATGGGATGGTGGATGGAATGGTGGATGGATGGATGGATTGGATGGAAAGGATGGATGGATGGATGGTGGGTGGATGGATGGATGGGATGGTGGGGGGGATGGGGGTGGATGGAAATTGATGGGGTGGATGGTGGGGGGATGGATGGGGGGATGGATGGAGGATGGATGGATGATGGAGGATGGGTGGGGGGGATGGATGGATGGATGGGGTGGATGGTGGTGGTGGGGATGGGGTGGATGGAGGATGGAGGTGTGGGGGGGGGATGGGTGGGTTTATAGAGATATGGATGGGGGTGTGGGTGGGTGGAGGTGGGGGGATAATGGATTTTTGGTGGGTGGATGGGGTGTGGGGGGGTGGATGGAGAAGGTCGGGTTGCCCTTTTTTTATGCCAATTCCAAATCTTTTTGG